AGAGAGTTGGTTTCTATCTTTGGGCTGTGCCCAGACTTGGACATGACTTCGGACTGGGAGGCTATTGAGAGAGAGACTACGATTGATCGGCAGAAACATTGAGTTCCACTMTCTTCTTCTTCCTCCCCCTTCGTCTMTCCCCTCCCAACATCCTCCGTCCGTGTGATTCTCTCGCCATGTGTGTGCAGCCAGGCAGCATTCTCCTATGAACRCAGTGCCTGGYATGATCCAGTTGTATGATGGATGAGGTTTGACTCATGTCTGGAGTCCGATGAGTCAGATCGGTACATTTTCAGTCCTCCCYTGAATCAGTTATTGTTTCTCACTTTGGGTGCTTCCTTGGTTGTGCAGCATGCCTATCTGACCATTTCAGGCRCACRATCGAGTCACTSAACCCCTGCTCAGTGCACAGCTCGTCACACTTAAGCTTCTGATAGCTTTCCTCCACACTACCACCATCARCCGAATTTACTGCCAACTTTGAGTCTAGATACAGCAATAATGACGTACGTTGAATTCCGGTGAAGACAGTAGCACCCGCTACCGGTTAACAATGACTTCTGTATTGAGAAAATTTGAGATTGTGYAAGATCGAGGAAAACACACTCTACCACACGAAATCCACTCTACATGATTGAGTTCAATGCTCCTGCATTTAGGATCTTAGATTCTTAGATAGTAAATGAAGTAGCAACCAACTGTGCACTCTCAGTATTTTTGCAAGGTGAGAATAGCTCATCTGAAGTAAGGTCATTGCATTGGCATTGAGATGCTTACATTGTGGGCATGGGGAGATATCAGCAGTGTGTCAGCAGTGCAAGTAATCTGGCACCCCGCTCCTGCTCTCAATTGAAGCGATACATGTTAGCAAAGTGTTATCAGTTACCTGCACACCATCTCACCAAGGTGACTCTTCAAGCGACTTCTCGGACTTGTTCAATTCTTATTGGCTCCTCTGCCCCTTCACCCCCATGGTAATCTCAACCAACCATAACGCCTTTCGAAATCGGAAAAAAAATAATCATCTCAAGATATGCTTAACCAAACTGCATCGCGTTCCCTGAAAGGCATATCCGAGAAGGTCT